GGGATCGAGCCCTGCATCGGGCTCTCTGCTCAGTGGGGAGCCTGCTTCCTCCTCTCTCTCTGCCTGCCTCTCTGCCTACTTGTGATCTCTATCTGTCAAATAAATAAATAAAATCTAAAAAAAAAAAAAGTATTAATACATGAAAATGACCATTCAGACCCATACTTCCACCATGTAATGCACTTGAACATTAAGGGATAGAGCTCAGTAAATAAAACAAAGAAAATCACCTGGAAGTATGTTCATGCTTCATATTAGCAATTTAGTCCAAAATATCCTTTCTGTCAGAAAAATGGAGTAAAAAAAAACTATGCTAGTAGCAACAGAGGCTGGCCTAACTCCCAGACTTAACCAGACCCAAAGGCCTGAAGTAAGGTTTTTTTTTTTTTTTTTTTTTTTTACTTCATGTCACAACCAAGACAAGGTGAATACACCTATTTATTCATGTGATACCTTCAAGGTTAAATTCTCCATGATCGTCAAAAACTTAAAATGTGCCCTTGTTTTCCTTTTCCTCAATAAAAGAGACTGTGTGGTATGACTTCCACTCCTACAAAGGGACACAGCTATTCCTCACCTAATTTCCAGAAATTGTGTGTGATAATGAAGCAAGGGCCACAGCTGAGGATGAAGCATGGGCTGAGACAGGAGTCTCCAAACAAATGATTTGGAAAGAGGGACACAGGAGAGACTGACTGGCTCTTGGGCCGGGGCTGTAGAAATCTGTCTTCTTGTAGAAATTCTCTTTTGTTGCACTCTGGGCAAGGGGTCCTCTTCCCACATTTGCAGTCACCCACTGGGAATTCAAATTAAATTAGGTCTCACTTAAATTGGAGTTTTTCCCATTACATTAGCATTTGCATAATCTTGCCAATGTTTCCCAACTTGCTAATTAATAATAGGATGACTTCAGTAATAGTAATAGGATGGTTAAATCATGTTTTATTGCTGTTGGATTAACGTAGAATGAGGCTATCAAAGGGTACGTTTTGCGTGTATGTTCAGTTTTTATTCCTATAGGCACATCTCAGTTGGCAAACTTAATCCACCACTAAAAGGTGTTATTGAAATGACTATTCCACAAATCTGAGGAAATGGAAATTTAAAAAAAAAAAAAGCTTTGATGAAACTGACTTGTAAACCCCTTTGTTTTTCTGATTCACTGATGCTGAAGAATTGCTCAAGGATGATTCGTCTCTTTAATAAGTAGCAGCAAAAACAAAGCTTAGGAGAATTAATGTAAGAGAAGGATAATTCTTTCTCAGGAATTATCTTCCTAGTAGCCAGACCCCGGCTGAAAGTATTTAACTTTCTAAGGCTGGTTCACCTTCCCATTACACAAAGCTGCGTTTTTTCAGGAGTTGAAAAAAAAGAAAAGAGTCTGAGCTGGAATTAAGTAGTTTAACTTCTGGAAGATGGAGCCAGAGAGTTTCAGCAGTATGTCGGATGGTTTCATTTGACTGCGGCGTCAGCAGATGCTCCTAGTTTTCTTTAGGTGCTTCTAGGATTACATGTATCTGTGGGTCTGACACTTCTGTTCTACATCTCCTCACAAAGAGGACCTCCAGTTGGTCCTAGCAGAAACCTTATTAAATGGATGAACGTAATACTTTTAAATCTGCTTAGTCTTCAGACATCTGTCATGCCACGGTAAAATTTAATTACAATAGAATCTGGATACATTCATTTTCCAATTTTATAGGTTTGAGGAGTCAGACGTGTTGTTCATCAATAATTACTCAAATCCATGGGAAATAAAAACAGATTCCACCCTAAATCCATGTGTCTCCAAACTACTACTGTAGTACATATGAACACAGCAAAGCCATCAACATCACAGTGGAGTTTTGGCTTTCATAACCTATCCCACCGAAGAATGAAGGAGGCTCACAATTTCTCTATCTGCCTTATAGGAATGACCTGCTCAAAGCATAGTTTCAAGGTTACCATTTTATTCAAATTGAACCATTCATTTAGTTTAAGGAGGTCTATACATGTCTTCAGTCCTAATCATAGGTTCACCAAACCAACAATGATGAGCACAGTACCTAGTCACACTGGCTAAAGAACCAAGCCCCAACAGAAATCATGGGAGCAATGTTACAAATTTATAACTGCAGTAACTCTTCCCCCAGGGAATATATATTTCAATCAACATAGAACATCACTGTACCAAAAGTGGAGTTGCTGAAATCATGAGATCAGCCTCTGTAAGTCCAACAGCAATATGCTGAAGAGAGTTTCAAAGAATGGCGCATAATCCATCTGCCAAATCTCATTTTGAGGAAACTGGACATTGCATTTGGTTGTGTAATGCTGGCTTCTCCAACTTGATCAGGATCTTAGCTGTCCCAAGTCTTTTCCTCTCTCTGTGCCAAAGGGAAACACCACCATGCACGAATCATGGAGTAGATGATGTGCAGTTGTGTCGACATAAGCCACCAGTAAAAAGAAAAATGAGGGTCCTCAGCCAAGCTCTCCCTCTGGCCCGAATGTTCCTCTACTTGTGTGTGCTTCTACTGATTGACTTTCTTTTCTGAAGAGAAACCTATGAAAAACAGTAGAGAAATGTTTCAGATTAAAAATTAAAAATTCATTTCTCTTCTTCTGGCTCAGGGCTAACATAAACTTTGAGGCTGGCAAAAAAAAAAAAAAAAGAGAGAGAGAGAGAGAGAGAAATATTTTATTCATGAGCTCCCACAAGTTTACACTAAAAAATCAAGAGGCGGGAAATGGAGGGTTATTATTTTAAGCATTGACATATGCTTATCACTTTGTGAAATCAGCTGTGGCCTGGTTCTACTCATGCCTGAAGAGGAATATTCTGTACTACTTCTCATCTCTGTTGGCATTTTGGTAGCTCAAGCATTTGCTTAGGAAAGTAAGTCATATTTGTTACTATTAGGTTTAGTACTTAGCCCAGGGAAGAGAACTACCACATAAACTATTTTAAGTATGGCGAAGGGTACATTATTGTCAGAGCGATAGAAAAGATCACGTACTTAAGACGTGTTGATGTACCATGAAGACCAATATGAAAAATGTGGTATATTTCAGTAAGACTAGGAAAGAATACCACAAATGAGCACTATAGGGAAGACAAAATCAAAGAGATCTACTCATGGTGACAAAAAAATACACACAAATTTCAAGAAATAAGGTATTTTCTTATTCATGATAACAATTGAGAACATGTTAAATGTTCTACACTTGTTGCCCTGTATTTGGTATTTCAAATAAACAAACTTTTAAACTAACTGTTTCCTTTCCAGGCTTAAATAAAATACTCCTCTAAGAACGGTGCCCATTTTACTAAAAAGGTATCTAATATGGTGAGAGCATGAATTTGGACCCAGAAGTATAATCCACTGGTCTGACCAGTCTAAAGTTTAGATTTAATCCATTTATGATACCTACCCCTAGATATCTTAAAACATTAAGAAAAATTAATTTCTCTATAGTTTTTATAGCACTCCTGTGAAATAGATACAGAGGTGAAATCGGTATTCCCATGTTTTAGCAGAGAGAGTTTGTGACCCCCAAGAGGATCCATGGCAGAATGGAAATGTGAACAAAAGAAAAAAAACAGGTCTTCAGTTTCTTGAATGGAAGACAGAATGTCCCTCTGTGCAGTGAATGTGGGAAGAGACTTCTGTCATCGGCTTGGCTCCGTGGTGGTTCGAATGGCAGGGCAAGAGAAACGCCACCAGGGAAACATGGGTTCTCATAGTGCAGACACAGTCTGCTTTGCCTTACTGGTTGATAAAGAGTTCCAGTAACCGATTGCGTGCCTTATTATTTATTAATGGTATGTGTTACACTCTATGCTTTTATGTTCACAAGAGTGCAGGTTAATTCCCATGTTGCTGAAGTGATCTGAACAGGACCCACAGATCTTGGTGGCAGAGGCCATGTCTGACTCTACATCAAGGATCAGCTGAATCTAAAGTCCCCTACAAGGGGAGGTGCCCCAGAGCAGCAGAGAGGTTAAAGGGGGACTCTGCTCTCTACATGCCCGCTCACCTCAGAACGTGCGTGCTCACGCATCAACAGTACGGAAATGTAGGTAAGTAGACATTCTTCCCAGCTGGGATGCGACATGTAATAGAAACCTCATTTCCCTACAGATTTTTATCTTCCGTTTAAGATAAATATTGCAATTTTATTCACCTAGTGGAATTGTGACTAGTCTAAGCTTATTGTGGGCATTTTTCTCATCTAGGTTCTATCTACCTACCTATGTTTATCTATATAAGATGTTAATCAGAATGTTTAGTCTTTGCTTATAAATCAATGTCTGCATAGGAATATATTTACCACCTGTGTTTTAATATGTTCCTGTACATATAATTATACATTTACACTTTATTTAATATCCCTTCGCAAAACCACTTAGTTTACCATTAAGCCGACCTTTATGGCATTATAAGGTGAGGATGCATTTCTCCTGCAATTCTTTCTAAAAATCCAGAAATAGACATAAAACTATTTGTCTCTAAATTTTGATTATTTTTATTAACTGCTGGTAAGATAATTAAGTATATTTTATAAAAGAAAAATATTCTTAGTATTTTATCCATCTGTATTGAAAATCAACAAGTATAGTGTCTAAGTTTTTTCTCTTTCTTACATCTCTTAAGTACCTTCTAGTATTTATACTGATTCCTATATCTCTTCATACCACTGGAAAAAATCCAACTAATCCAGCCATTTTACTGATGTAAAATTATCTGTAATTTTCAGTTATAAAGACAGTTATAAAAAGACACAAACTGAGAATTGCAGATTCTGGCTTTCAGGATAGATCCATGAGAATTTATTTAAATAGAATAGATCTAAATGATGACACTATTATATTTTAATGTGTAGCATGGAGTTGTCCATATTGCTTGGTGGTTACAGTGTGGGCTTTGGAGGCAGACTTCCCGGCTTGTCTATGTCCTAGCCAATAACCAGCTACATGATCTTGGATGAGTGACATTATCTGTTTCTTGGTTTCCACAATTTTAAAACAGGAACAACAGTAGTACTCATTCCATAGGGTTGCTCTAAGGTTTTGATGAAATAATATATAAATATATACAATGCCTAAAATAGTTTCTGGCACATGGTCAATGTTATGGGTTGAATTGTGCCCCCCCCCCCCCCGCCAAATGTGTATGTCTTAACCCCTGGTACCTTTGCATGTGACCTTATTTGGAAATAGGACTTTGTACACATAATCAGGTTAATATGAGATTATACTGGATTAGCCTCATCCAATATGACTGGAGTCCTTATAAGTAGATGAAAATTTGGACACAGACCCAGACAAGAGAGAAGAGGGCCATGTGAAGAGTGAGGCTGAGATTGGAGTTATGCTGCCAAAGCCAAGGAACTTCTAGAGCTACCAGAAGCAGGAAGAGGCAAGGAAGGAACCTTCCCTAGGGGTTCTGGAGGGAGCATGACCCTGCCAACACCTGGATCTCAGACTTCTAGCCTCCAGAGTATGAGAGGATAAAATTTCTGCTGTTTTAAGCCATCTAGTATTTGGTGCTTTGTTATGGTAGCCCTAGGAAAGGAATTCAGTCAGTATTCAGTTAATTAGTTATTACTAGACATTAGTAAAGACAAATTATAATAGTTGGGCTTTGATTTTTTATATCATAAAGAAATAATTGTTTGCTCACAACACAGTCTCATGTGCCTACACTTCATGTCTTTCCAAACATGTAAGAATTGAGTTCTAGCTCATTAGACAAAGTTCAACTCTGCACCATATGAAAAATTTGGAAGGTACGGAAGAGACTGGCATGTGATGTAGTTAGAAAACACAGTCTTTCGACATTTCACAAAGAAAGAAACAAAAAACATGTTTTCAAGGTTATACTAACTCTAAAATGCCATAATTGTTCTAGAAACATGGAAGTCATTTTGCATCCCATTCTGATAACAGATGAAATGAGATTAAAATGTTTTGCATAAAATCATATGTTTTTTAACAGAAACAGTAACCCCTTAACATCTATAGACTTCGATATATAAAAATGCAATTATTTAGTAATGTGAAGAGAGAAAGCCAAGTAAGTCTTAAATGCCTTAAAAACCTTTATTTAAATCTTGAGTTTTTGAAAGAAGAGTTAATTTCCAATGTGTCTGCAAAGCATTCTAAAATGACCAGAAAATGGGGCGACTGGGTGGCTCAGTCGTTAAACATCTGCCTCTGTTCAGGTCATGATCCCAGGGTCTTTGGATCGAGTCCCATATCAGGCTCCCTGCTCAACAGGAAGCCTGCCTCTCCCTCTCCCACTCCCTTTCTTGTGTTCTCTCTCACTCACTGTCTCTGTCAAATAAATAAATAAAATCTTTAAAAAAAAAAAATAACCAGAGAATGTAACTGAAAGCAAAGCTGGAAATATGGTGACCCAAAGACTGTATGAGAGTACTCAGTACCTATTGACTTTCTTCTTTGGCCAGGAAGCCCTTCATTCGGTTCCCACTTTTAGAGGACCCTGCTCTGGCCCTCCTCCAGCCACCTTCTTCCCCATTGTAAATCTGCCTCCTTCTAGAACAATCTCTTGGTACCCACATGAGGAACCTCAAAATTTCTGCTCAAGTGACCCTGTTTCTGCTTCTCAGCCTCATGTGGTCCTCTCTCCCAGGCCTGAAGCCCAGGCCTGAAGTCCTTCATTATGCTACACTGTTTGTAGTATAATGAGGGACATATGGATGTGCCAACTGGGCTGTACTCAAGTTCACACTCAAGATCCTTCCCAGTGGAAAGGTGGGAAGAAAAGGGGATGGGCCACAGCTCAGGTCCTCCTGGGCCACTGTGTCCTGGTTGGAATGTGAGCATTTTAAATTTCATCTACCCTTCCAGCTATATTTGTCAATAGGAGGATAGACTATAATAATTTCTACGCTTGATTCATGACGTTTAAATATTGAGCCTGAACTACGAAGCTTTTCGTGTATTCATGCCTCAGGGAATGTTAAAGGAGGATCTAATGATCATAGCAATTTAATCACTCATTACCCAAAAGGCTACTGTTCTGCAAACACTTCACGTGTAGATGTCAGAGCCACTATTTCAGGTTAGATTCCCATAAGAGGAATTATAAGGATAGATACTAGGATCAAACTATAATGTGCTATATATATTAGGGTCAGGAAAGTAAAATTTGTTGGGAGTCATAGGAAATTAATAAAAACTGAGAACTAGGACAATGTACAAGGCACGCATACAGATTAATATTCATTTGAATATCCATATTTCTGAAAGGGTTATTTTCACTGAAATACAAGTAGAATACTTCCGTACTTATTAAATGAATAAAATTTATAAGAGTTTTAAAAATACTTTCTGTTTATAATTTACCAGAAACTGAGCCTAATTTTTCCACTCATTTTTTCTTCCATTGTTTGAGTTTGGGTATTTATAGCCCAAAACACAGGGTGTGCCGACTAGCAGTGTATTTGTGAATAGTGAAAGATAAACATATTAGCCAAGTAATAAGACAATGAGTAATAGCATAAATAACAAAAATGTCTGCTTAACAAAAACTTTTTCAAACTCCTATTTAACGATACCACAAAGTTACTTTTAAGAATTCTGAGCAATTGAGTTGGATCTACGAGTCAAAAGGAGCTTTCCAATTAAATGACATAAAAAATAATAAGAACCACCCCTGAAGTTAAATAATGGCACACGAGGGATTTTTTTTGACAAGGATGATTTCAGAGTTTTTGCCAATTTTTTAAAAAATATTTTATTTATTTATTCGACACAGATATCACAAGTAGGCAGAGAGGCAGGCAGAGAGAGAAAGGGGGAAGCAGGCTCCCCGGTGAGCAGAGATCCTGATGTGGGGCTTGATCCCAGGAAGCTGGGATCATGACCTGAGCTGAAGGTAGAGGCTTAACCCACTGAGCCACCCAGGCGCCCCAGTTTTTGCCAATTTTTTGAACTGGCTTGAACCTTGAGATAGCATCAGCTTTGAAAGCTAGAAGAGGAGAAATAGAAATCAAAATAGGTAGATTCCTGAGTAAGGAATTTATTTCTCCAGTGGTTCCCTATCCCTGATCAGCCCTCTTCCCTGCTGCAGACAAGCCACAGTCAGCTGCAGAGCTGGGTTGGTATGGAGAAGGAAATGGTTCACACGGCAACATATCCCATCAGTTTCGACAAGGGCTGACCAAGCATGAATTGATTCATAACATATTTATTACATACTTAATCTTACATAATACCTTGTCTTTTACCTGTGATATTCAAAATACCAAATGAGTGTAGCACATGTTATGGCTTCATAGGAAGAAAAGATTATTGAGGGTTAGATTTAAGTTCTGTAATTATGCAAGTTAAATCCCCATTCTCATTTTGTATCTGTCATTATAGAAAACACTAATATAGTGAGAGAGGTAGGTTTTTGAGGGCACTATAGGATGTGATTCAAAGCACAGGTTTTTTGAAGTCCTATATGTCTGCAATCTAATCCCAGGACTAAATTTCTCCAACTGTGTGATTTAGGCATGCTACTTTAATTCTCCAAGCCTCAGTTCCCCCATCTGTAAAATGGTATAATAAAACCTATTTTATAGCATTGCTGTGAAGATTAAAGCAATGTCCTTAAAAATACTCAGGTTGCTACATAATAGAGGTTTATATTTTACTGTAATTTTATATCTGTAGACTCTTACACAGCATGTTTATGCAACACAAACTTCATTATGTTCTTCCCAACAGACAAAAATCATTAGGTCTTATATACTGCCTATAACATTCTATTTTCACATATTTAATTTAGTTTCTGAAGGTCATCACAATTCACTTCTACCTTATATAATTATTAGCTTCTATTACACTGGTCCAAAAGAACCTATTAGTGATACAAAAATAGCTTTATGATATTACTGAATTCTCTACTGCATAATTGTATTTTCTAGTGGTTAAACTCCAATTCAGGGAGAAAATATCTTTAATATTCATTTCAGACCAATATAATATGAAATGGAAAATTATAATTGGGTGGTAGCTCAGCTATTATACAACAATGGATTTCAAAAACACAGACATTATGCAACAACCATTATGGTTAATAGTATGCCTTTCTAATAAAAGCTCTCTATTATGGCTGGAACCCAAGAACTTCATTAAAACCAATGGTTGTATTCACAGTAGAAAGAGAAGAAAAAAAGAGTCCTACAGTTTTCTGATAAATACCTAGACATTCTTTTATAGAGTTCTCACTTTTTATCTTTCTTCTCTATAAAGCTGCTATAAGCTATGGCCCTTGCCACTCCTAGTGCTGCTGCGTACACCTGTCCAGGTTGTGTATTGTGCAACTCCAGGAAGCTCCATTTACAGAACTTGGACTTGTGAAGTACACAATCTACAAAACCACATGTGTTATCCCTGGCATTCTATTTTTACTCCATAATGGGCTCCTTGTAGTAAAATCTAGAATTCTATCATTTCAGATCTGAACTAAATGAGATCAAGCTTCAAGTATGGCCTGAAATTGGAATATGGCTCATATTCAGCCTTTCTAGAGAGATTAAAATCTCTGGTAATTCAGAATGTAGGGTCACAGGTGTGTGTCATTTGAGATTTTTAAACACGTAGCAGGCATGGCTGACTTGGGATGAGAATAGAGGTGGGATTACGGTTATAGCCGTTTATACAGCCCGTTCCTGAGTGTCCTCATGAGAGCACAGAAACAAGCAGGAAAAAGTGTGGCAGATTCTGGAAAGAAGAGGAGAATGGTCAACCAAAGAAAAATAAGATAAAAGAGTTTTCCATTGTGAGTACTCGATAGGTGACTTTTTAGTGTTTTTTTTTTTCCCCAGCACACTTAGAGGTGGGTGTTGTGGGCTACCTTGGCCTAAACTTGGAGTCTGACATTTAGTCATTAGGGAACACAGTTCTGAGCCTTTGGTTTCCTCTGTCTGTCTGCCAGTGACATTTAAAACATCTGTCTAGCAAACTCAACCTGGAATAGTGGACGTGCATCTGCCCTTTGTAGTGGAATCCCAGAGCTTTGTTGTTGTTGTTACAGTATAGCTCCACTTGAAGTTTTCATTTCTAGCCCCAGATGGAATACTGACTCTGAGCCTGGAATAGGAGCAGAAGCCAGAACTGAGATTCCTACATTTCTGCATTCGAACATTTTCTGTTTCTGAAGGAGTTCAAGTTAACCCCAGGTGCATCAAATTAGAGTTGTGTATTCAACACAACTTTATGGAAGGCCCTCCTCGAGTACGAACGAATGTATGTTGAGTAAACATCCCCAAAAGATCCCATTAAAATGTAAACATGAAAGAATGCTCAATACAGCTGTGGTCTTACCATTTGCCTTATGCTGCACATCTGGCGGAAACTGGTCAGGAGCATACCACTGATAGTCTGGCTGTGTGGAACAATAAAACATTATTATAGCAATATGGACTTCAAACAAAACATAGTGGCATATTAAAAATATAATTATACTATGTGGCTTTTATTACGTAGGCAGCACAAACGTCCTTTCTATCCAAACCTGCTGCCAATCTTGCTCATTTCTCTTACCTCCTTCATCACTATCCCCATCTCCCAAACCCACCCCCCCAAATCCACTTTGTGTTGGCCAGAGTTCCTTCTACTTTGGGGTTGTGGCATTTTTTTTTTTTTTAAAGCAGATGTGTTTGGGATATCTGCAGAAGTATAAATACTTCTGTAAAACTTACTACAGCTCATAAATAAAACAAAGCAGTTTACCATCAATAAATACTGCATTTAAAGCACTCACATGGGAGACAACAGAGAGACCAAGAGAACAATGACAAGTTTAGTGTTTTGGGGTACAAGGAAGAAATCTAAGCCATTCAGTGAGGAGAGCGCTTACAGAGGCTCAGGACAATGAAGCAGGGCTGATCTTTCTCTTTGTACTGTTCCTCCGTGGAAAGTACTCTCTAGATCGTTCAGAGAGTTTAGACTAGAAAGGGGGTAAGAGGTGAGGGTAGACTTGGATTTTTCTTGTGGGATTTTCTTCTAGGTTTCACCAGTTAAGAACACCTAGATATTGGACATTGGGGAACATGTCAAACAAACTGCTTTGAGTAAATCATAAACTACTGACCCGAAATTCAAGATACAGTTCCAAGACAGAGATAGAGAAATCCAAGATAGAGTACCTCTGTAGTTAGCCACTCGGAACAGAGCAACCCAGCCTCACCTGCCCATGAGGATGGTCTGTCTTCCTGCTCCCAGTGATCACCCCTGCCTCCTACTCCCCACCTCCCAAGACACACAGAATACAGGTCTTTTGTTCTATTAATCAATTACCTCCTGAAATAACTCCTGAAAATGTCTCTACCGATAAGCCAACAGGGAGAATTTGCAGGGCTGCCAGACCACTGAAAGTAGCCTTAAAGCTCAATTATCTGACAAGACACTAAGAAACGCTGCATTTAGTACAGTCTGACCCCACTTTACCCCCACTCAGACACCTAGACTCTTGGCTCCTTTTGGTCCACGAAAAAGCTAAAAGAGGAAATGAGATCACCTCTGTTTTTTATCTCCTCGTTTATTTTTAGATGTCTCAAAGAACACATAGGATAAGTGACGTGAGCCTCGGTTTTAGATTCCAGGAGAGTTGCCAAAAGAAGGCAAATATACTGTAATTTTACAAACACTACTGTTTGTCCTTTAATTCAGGCTTAGAAATAAACATAAAACATGAACTGTCCTTTTAAAATGAACTCCGGGAGTGAAATTCTACTGTTATACCAAGATTCTGTTTGACTGAACACTGCTTGAAAATGTAGGCCATTATACATGGCTTGGAATCTTTTTCAAATACAAGACTTTTTTTGGTGATAATTTTACATGGTCTGGACTACCTTGCCTCTTATAATTGATCGGGCAAGTCTGATGAGATTTTATAATAGGTGAATTTCTGCCTTCTTTTCATAAATGAGTATTTGAAGAAAATAGTCATTTTTACTTCTAGATAAACTTGCATGACTCATTGGTTTTATTGTTAACCTTTCACAAGAATATTTCTCCAATTCACGAACCTGTAGGAGCTCACTCCAAAGTGAACTCCTATCTCTTTATGTTTCCCACAATATTAATTTACTTCTACATCCTGAAAGACAAAAATTTAAGGAATGATAGCTGTGTTTGGGGATTCCCAGAAGTGCTTTTCTGGTAAAGATTGAAAAGTAAGCAGACAGGTAAAGAAAAAAGGAAACGGGGCAGGGTGAGCAGACAGAAGTGACAACGGGCTATAACACAAAAAGAACACAATTCTCAGCAGTGTGCTGTGTGTCACACCAGGGTCAAAGAAGGGATGCTCATTAAATTCTGACATGCCTCTGCCACCCAAAGAGTCATTACCTCCTCCCTTGGGAAAAGGGCTTTGAGTCACACTCAAATACAAAAGTATGGCAACCAAGAGAATCATGCTCTCCGTAAGTGCTCTGCCAGGAAAATCCCAGTTAAAATCTCAAGATTCTTTGCATAATTAAAAACACAGTTAACACAAAGTAAGGGGGAGGGGAGTTGTCTGAGCATTTCCAAAATGCAGAAAATGCATAATTTTTTTTTTTTTCCTGCATAAAGACACTGTCTATGTAGCCAAAACACACAGTAGAGACCAGCGTCCAGATGGTGGGGGAGGGTGGGGGGAATAGTGCTATGGAGAAGGGAAGGAAGGATGCTTTGGTTCTGGCTTATTCAGGTTGACTGTCCAAATCAATTCAACTCACAAATAATTGCTCCACAGTTCATTTCATTTTGCCTGGCTAGACACAGCCACAGAGAGCAACTTAAGTGGGTCACTTTTTCTGGGATCCTTTAAGAATATCCTTTTAATTGGAAAATGTCAAAAGACTATATTGCACAGATGTAGCCATATCCACAGTAGTTCAATATAAATTTACAACTGAAAAAGGCATCTCTCAGACTTGCTATATTCATTTTGGTTCTCTTTATGCACAAAAACCCTCTTTTGGAAGAGTCAGGTATGTCATTTAAAATGGCCTTTATAAAATGTGTGTTTGTTCAACAAATTACAGCTCAATTTGATGCCATTCAGTGAATTTATTCATATCCACGTGTGTCCTGTGGATTCCGTGTCCCAAAAAGTGTACAGTGTACCGTGACCACTGTAACTCTCTAACTTAGAGGACAAGATAAAAAGAGGCTCTTTCTGTGGACAAGAGTGTGTGTCCAAATTACAGAGACAGACAGCATTTCTACCGAAAAAAAAAAAAAAAAATACTGGCACCTACTAGATAATATAAGCATTCGTGTGTTGAGACGCAAGCTCTTACTTACTGGGGGATTCTGTTGATCCCGTGCAGCTCCAGGGCCTGCTGGTGCGCATGGATCCTGCCCGTGGGAATTCAAGCCGCAATTACACATCGGGAACAACATCTGGGGGAGGATAATGTCGTTGGTTCACTGGAAGTGGGTGAAACTGGGGAGTCACACTGACCCTTGCTTTATACAACCCCAGGTTTGGCTGAAAGCTTAAGGTTCCTTTGAACTCTCGCATAATTCCAACTCAGCATAGTGGGAGCACGGATGTGACCTCTGGGCTGACAGCAATGAGGAACCCAGGGAAGATGTCACTTTAGGTGAACCTCTAATTAGCTTCTCATGTTGAAGACATCAGAAACACTTAAATGGTATAGACTGAACTTTATGTGTCTGAGTTATCTTCACAGAGGGTCCTCACTTAAGAAGAACCAGCCATTGAAGCCATAAAAGAAGTTTTAACAAGACTCCTACAGCATAATGGAAGTCCAGAGAGGAAATTAAGAATTAAGAGAAATAATATTCATTCCTGAAACCTACTAGAGAACCAATGGGACAGAACACTTCCGTGCCAAGAAGATACTGTATTTTCTTGAAGAGGCACAAACCTTTGATGTAATTTTCCACTGTACATTGTGTATGCAACTGCAAGAAACACCTAGGAAATATACTTACAAGGTGTTCATGGGTCTATGAAAAAATCCCCATAGATTTCTATGTGCTAAGGCATGTGCTACTGGTAACATGTTCTGGAAAGCATGTGTTTTTCATGAGTGTTAGGGCTGAGAGGCTTTGGTGGTATGTAAGCATTATCTATCCACTGGCATTTTAGTCCTTAACGCAAAGCCTGGGTTGTTCTGGAACATCTGTAGAAGAGCCTGAATACATCTTTAATTGCAACCATGAGGAGCTGCTGTGCCCAGGAATAAATGTGGGGGCAGAACTTAATGTTGCCATTTCAACTACAATCAGAATATTGGTGAATTCAGGTTAAGGAGCGACGTACCTGTTTTAATTGCTTTTTGAGTTTTTCTTTCTCCATCTGACAAGCCTTTATCTACAGACAAAACAAAGGCATTTGTTTATAGAAAGAGTCCACATGGTTCATTCTACAGTTACTCTTGACCCAGCTGTCATGATCTGCTCAGAAGCCCCAGGAGTGAAGCACTGATACAGCAGTCATGCCATTGAAAACAGTCACGTTTCGGATTTTCCAGACCCGCGTTGATTCTATCTTGAAACACCCAAGTAAAGTCTGGAAAGTGGAATCATTTTAAATTGTTATTTCAATTTGTTGAAACAACTGTAGTTCTCAGTTTTAGGTTGATATTCTGATATACAGATATAAATGTAGAGACCTAGGAAGAGATAGAGACATAGAAACAGCTTCCACGGCTTACTGCAGAATTGGAATCGGTCTGCTGTACACTCAAGAGCTAACACCGTCAATGCTAAAAGTTGTGTATGCACTTCCTCCATGCCGGACACTAATCTACGGCTTTACATGTAATAACTCACTGATTCCTCCCAATGCCTCTATGTGATGCTCAGTGTTATTATCCCTGTTCTACAGATGAGGACACGGAGCTCTGAGATACTGAGGAACTTGTCCAATGTCACACTACTGTACTTGGCTTCTTCCTATTTAAGGCCCAGCAGAGTTACCCACCCTGGAGTTTTTCAACATCTGACACAACTAGAGAAAGCCATTTTTGTTTGACTCATTAGTCATGCTATTGTCATCCCCACACACCCTGTTCCTCATCCATGTAAGGCATATATCCCCACTGAATGATACTGTTCCAAGTCCCGCCTCTCTCCTTCCTTTGTCCTCCCATTTGGCATTATATATTTTCCATGTGACTTTTTATAGTCCAGTGTGTACTGTGTACAATCAGTTTTCATAACCCACAGGAGTTATGTTCTGTAAAGTCACCATGAACATGAAGTGGCGAATGCAACCACTGCTCCTCAGGAAATGCAGGGTTAGGTTCCTATGAGCTTCTGGTCAGACCATTTTTGTTGACTGATCAGTACAGAATCTTGTTTTATGTGTGTTTCTGCTAAAGGCATCTTATTAAATATAGATTATTGGTCCATTAACATTGAACTCTTGGCCTATAGCACCATGTTATTCCCTGAATGAGCTTGTCTAACATGTCTTTTCTCTGTAGGCACAGCATGGCCTTCTTTTGCTAAAGGAAATGAGGTAGCACCTCAGCACTCTGTGGGAGGCATTTTAAGCAAAGCAATAACCAACAAAAAGAACAAAAATGAGAACATGTGAGACTAAATAAGCCACAAAAAAGACAATTGTTATAGTCTGAGAGCCGAAACAAGGAGGCAAGGCCTTGTTGGACCTCAACTGGGAACAAGTGTGCAAGGTGACTCAAGTTTTTTTCTGCTCTGTACATATTCAAAAATGGACTTAGGTGGCACCAGTATTGATTTTTGGGGTGACAGATACATTTCAGTGAGCAGGCAGATATACCAATATGGAATCCTCAAGGACTATCAGGAATCCACAAGGATAGACTATAAGGAATCCATACGGATAGACTATATATGTCCCCCTCGTTATATTGTCAGTCTTTAATAGCAAGGATCATTCTTTTAGTTCCTCGCGGTATATAACAAATGCCTTGGAGAAAGAAAGCATCAAAATTAAATTACAAGGGACTAAAAGTGGCATGTTAATTATGTAACTAACTGACTCTGTTTAAAAACTACCCCTGCCAACAGACTAAAATCATTTTGTGAAAAACCTGTGAGGCATGACCTGAACTAGATGTTTTTTTGTTTTGTTTTTTTTTTTTGTTTTTTTTTTTTCATTTCACCCTGAGAACAACTTTGTGAAGTCAGGAGGTGAAAACCATCATCCATATCATCCATATTTCACAGGTGAGTATACTAAGAGATTTAGAAACTTACTTTTAGAGACAGAGGTTTTAGAATTATAAGAAATATTTTAGAGACCATTTGGTTCAACTTTGCCATTTTACAGATGAAGAAAAGGAAGTGCAGAAAAGTTGGAGATCTTGCTCAGTGTCATCCCTGATTGTCAAAGCAGGGACAGACATGAAGCTTCTACCCCTACTCTTACTCCTAAGTATCTCTAAGTATTTTGCTATTTACCACACTCCTATTTTACTAGTCATTGGCTTAAAACATCCTTAGCGATAGAATGAATAAACTCTGGTACACAGGAAACTAGTGCCAGAATAATTTGACCTAAGAATTCCTTTTTAGGACCACAGATAATACGCTATTCAAATAACATCATGCCAATTCTATTATATCATGGCATTCGATTTGCTGTTAATACATTAAACATAGTTTGTTAAGCCATCTACTATATCTTTGAGTAGAGTGAATGAGACTTTTGAAAAATAAATGGTTGGGGGTGCCTGAGTGGCTTCATTGGTTAAGTGTCTGACCCTTGAATTCAGCTCAGGTCATGATCTCAGGGTCATGGGATGGAGCCCTGTGTCAGGCTCGTGCCCAGGAGGTAGTCTGCTTGAGATTCTCTGCCTCTTCCTCTACCTCTGCCCCTCCCCCAACTCATGCATGCATGAGAGCTCTCTCTCCCTCTCAAATAAATCCTTATTTATTTTTTTAAATGATTTTATTTATTTATTTGACAGAGAGCGAGCAGCAGAACACAGGCAGGGGGAGCAGCAGAGGGAGAGGGAGAAGCAGGCCCCCCACCAAACAGGGAGCCTGATGTGGGTCTTAATCCCGGGACCATGGGATCATGACCCAAGCTGAAGGCAGTAGCTTAACCGAATGAACCACCAAGGGCCCTAAATAAATAAATCTTAAAAAAAAATGAAAAATAAATGCTTGGACTATCATCATTTAAAGAAAAATTTTGGTAATTTTAAAGTATCATAAAGATGATCCCTTAGTTTATCAATACAATTATACCATACTCTATGTAGACAATGCATTATTTTGTTGATATCAATTAAAAGTTAGTTTACAGATGACAGAGAAATAAAAATTATTTGTGGATTATAGTCTCTATTTAGATTGTTATGTGTTCCTGGAAGCACTAGAACGTCTACAATGACAAAGACATTGCCAATCTTAGACACAGATTTATCATCAATCTCAATTTAATATAGTAGAATGAGCAAATTAAAATCTGGCTGGAAGTAAAATAATTAGTGCAGTGACAACTTAGAAGAAATTAAGGGAGCTCTGCACATAAGACATACAAATCAAGAGTGATTTCCTCACCGAGAGTCATCCGAACATTTCCTCGCTCCTCGTTTGTATAAAGTAAGGTGCATGAAACATTTTCAGAAAAGCATTTTATTATACTTTAACGACTATTTTATTCTTTTTAATTTCTTAGAAAATGGTTTGGCCAAATAATTTTTGCATGTAAAATTAAGAATTCCACATGAATCCTTGAAAATATGTCACAGAAGAAATTGAGTTTAATTCACAGTACACTTTGTATTTGGAAGAAGAGGATGACAAATAGTTAAACATTTCTTTTGAGACTAAGAATCCTGCAGCTCTGAAACTGTCACAGTATATCCTGCAACAATTTCCTATTTACTGAAAAGCACTGGATGATTTTGCAAATCAAAAATTCTGTGGTTCATTTTCTTAAGCCAAAGTTGTGTTAGCTACATTTTCCTCATTAACATCAATATTTATTCATCATGCCACTTCCTGAGTATACTTCTAATATATCCTATTACATTTAATTATAATATGTTTACATTTAATATATTCTATTCCAATAAACTAGCATTATGTGGCTTCCTTGAGAGTGATCCAATTACATTTAATCGGGGAACCCACTGAATAAAATTCTCGATTTCACTGTATTTTATATCTATAAATAACTTTTAGAAATATGTATGTTTCTGGAAGACAGGAACATTCCAATATGGCCCATCAAAGAAAATGACAAGAGTGTAGAAACAAATTCACGATGCTGGAGTGCTTTGGATTTGAATTTTGAGTATTAAGTAGTTCAACTCCCTTTCTACCAAGATAAATATTATGAGAAAAAGATCAAAAGAATTGAATTTTATAAAAGACTTTGGAATCCAATTTCTTAGGTAACTCCTTAATAGATTTAAGTTAAAAGAAATCGCCAGTAATTTTCATCTCTTTACAAGATTGTTTAAGAATGATTTCATCCCAGGTGCTTACCTCTCAAAGAAAATCAATGTCAATTAACAGAAGCCAAAGTCTTGAATATTTTTAATGAAAAAAAAAAAAAAAAACAAAAACCACACACATGTGCTGGCAAAGATTATTTTGTTTTGACTTATACCTGAGAATTCAGCCTGTTCAACTGGGCTTGAGAAGTTCGATTAATTTGCTGCAGCTCCTCTTTCTCTTGATTAAGTCTTTCTCGGTCTGATCGCTCCTTTTTGAAATCTTCTTCATATATTTGCACCTAGGAAATATTGACTTGTTGTTACTGTTGGCAGCCTTTTCTCTAAACTATTAAAATGATTTCAGAAGAGGTGCTATCTGGGCTTGTCCAATCTGAGTAATTCCTATCCTCTTTTCATCACTATTTCTTCATGATGAGACTCCATCCTAATGGATCTGGCCATAATTTGATCTCTCGCTTTATTTAGAATGGCAGTTCTCAACTTTTTCCTCCTTGAGTATGTGTCAGGAACTCAGAAGTAAAGTAACAACATGGATATTTTGAAAAAATATTCCCCTCACCCTTTATTCGCTGCATATTTCCTTATTGTGATAAGCATTCCCCTTCCCTAGTGTTAAGTATCTCTATTTTGGAGCAAGCCATCCATCCCCAACACAAGGCTTTGATGTAGGAATAGTGTTTGAAGTTCTAAAAGACAGTTTACTGGCAATAGCTGTTAGGTGAAGCCACTAAATATTGGCGTGCCAGTTTCCAAATATAAATAGTAAATTGAATATGTAATAGAAATTAAAGGCTCATGTATGTGAAAGAGCCAAGTATGATTGTTAAAAGGTATTTATAATTGGCCCCAGTAATTTTGGGGATATGTCATTTTTTTAAAAGTAGTAATATTTTAGTGGAATGCTTTGCAAGAAATATTCCACATATTCCAGAAAATCAAACCAAAAGAAAAACAGATTTGATCATTATTGTTTTTAACTGGCATAGTGTTAACTGATGGTTTGGGGACTAGCATGTGGAACTATAAAAATAAATGAAGCTTAGGGAATGAGGCAAAAGAATTTCTTTAAGACAATGAGTTAAATTACAACTTCCAAGGGAACCTAGTAGCTAGATTTTTGTCTATTAATAACAATGCACTCTGCACCTTCACCATGAATAATGCACCACGTTTTAACTAGAGGCTTATTAAAGTTGATAACAATAGAACAACATGTAATAGGCAAGAAAGGAAAAAAATTAAACATTTATACAGATCTAGATGCAGATATACACATTTAATTTTTAAGGTTTCATCCACCAGAAGCATTGCAAGGGAACTACACCCAGCTAAGCTGACATTTTGTTTTGGTTTGGGTTTGGGTTAAGATGTGAGGCTCAGTTCCAGACAGAGTCAAACTAATGCTCTGTAAACAGTTACCAGAGGCATTTGAAATGGGAGAAGCTCGTCTAATCAGAACTGAACACTCTTTATCAAACACAACACTGATAGCGATGTCATCACTGCAGCCAGGTGGCCGAGACTCTAGCTCGGTTTCTTTGTGAATTGAAATACTTTAGTGTATCACATGACACCTGATGATATAGTGATTGTGGGTGTCCAATTAAAAATGTGCACAGTTAAAACGTGTATGCATAAAGTTAGCAAAAGAGCCACTCAAAAACTAAGGAGATGGATTCTGGACCTCTTGGGGATAATGAAAAAAAGGATACCTGTCATTGTCTGCATCCAATATGAGCTAAACCATTGCTGCAAATTCTATGCATGTGTAAGAGTGACTCTCGCATGTGGGATACATTATATGAGAGCATCAAAGATGATTCAAGTGTCTGAACGTAAGAAGTAGTTTTTTTTTTTTTTTTCAGAGGAATCCTGGCTAGTGGCAATGGTGCTTTTGGGGCTGAGAATTTGGCAGAGCTTTAACACTCCGAAAACTATCCTTATTCTCTTCATAGGTTTATTTTTAAACCATGTATTTGATCCTGAATGTAATGGGACCGAATATTCAAATGGTTTAAAAGAAGAGAAAATGCAACTTTATGATCAAGTGCAAGATCTAGAATTTTCTAGATTTACAGATAGGCTACTTCTTAGGAAATGATAACGATAACAAGAACGCAGTTGCTTCATCCTTTGGCATATTGCATCAAGAATCCTTGGAGTTGGCCTTGTTCAGAGCAAAACAGCCAACAAATCAGTTCCAGGGACATACTTCCCAGCCCTTTGTTCTATCACATCCTCTCCCCCACCGCTAATATATTACTGACAATGTGCGCTTCAGAGATAGGATTCCTATATGTATCCTATATTTATTGACATCGCCATGAACTGTTCCATGAACTTTATCTTCATGAGTTTATTTAACCTCTTACAGGAAAAGAGATATGATATGCATGGGTGGCCCCTCAGCTAAGCCAGCTCCAGCTGGCTAAACTAAATTTAGATCCAAATCAGTCAGGCAGTGCTCTGTGCCTATAGCCCTATGTTGCTGATACATGTAGAAGTTAACACCTTTACTCTTCTGTCCACTTGGTGATGTGGGGTTGAGTGGGGAGGAGGAGGGCCTTGTGTATCAATAAATTGCTAGGTGGTGCCATCCACATGCAGCTGTCGATGAGCAGAGCTGGCTCTTCAGTATTTATGATCAGTGCAGAGTATTTAACACTGCCCGTGTTGTTCAAAGGCCTGGAGGCAAACAGCTCAGGATAACAGCCTGGCTGCAAGCATTTTCTGAAAAGGTCCAAGGTTTGCAGTGGTAGTGTTTTCAAAATAAATTGTGTCCATGTGAAACTCTCTAGACCAGTGCTAATATAATCTCACCAAAAGGTTAATTAGGAAGCCCTTCTTTTAACTGTATGATCTTGGATAAGCCATTTCACCCATTTGAAACTCAATTCCCCTCTTATAAAGTGTGAGTTGGGCTAGCTGATATATATTCTCCTATCAAGCTTTAAAATTAGATAATTCTAATGAAAATAAATGCGAAGACTTTGGACACGTTTTGAATAGAAAGATTTCCAAAAATGTCCAAAGGACCACGAACAATGGGCCCTGTGTTTTCTACATGATTGCGCCACTTTCAACTTCTCACCTGCTGTTTGAGAACTTCCATTTCTGTTCGCATCTCCTCATGCCTGCACTCCATTTCAGACTTTCCCAAACAGTCCTCCGAAAATGAAGAACACTCGATTTTCAAGGCATCTTGAAGAGCCTGTGTTATATGATAAGCACACGGTTGAGCTAAGAGTTACCACATCTTATGAATTCCTCTATAATTGTTACAATGATCTCAAAATGACCCCTGCAAAACAACTCCATTTTTTTTTTAAAGATTTTTATTTATTCGACAGATAGAGATCACAAGTAGGCAGAGGAGGCAGGCAGAGAGAGGGGGGAGCAGGCTCCCTGCTGAGCAGAGAGCCCAATGTAGGGCTCGATCCCAGAACCTGGATTCATGACCTGAGCTGAAGGCAGAGGCTTAACCCACTGAGCCACCCAGGGGCCCCCAGAACTCCATTTTTGATGCTACCTTTCCAACTGAATAACTTTTCTTCTTTCTCCTTTTTTAGCATACATTTTTTTTTTTCAGAATCTCTGTCTTTTCTCCATGATGATGCTTATGTTATTCAACTGTCATTGTTATTTAGAAGGGCTTTTGATATTGATGTTGGGCATCTCCCTGCCACCAAGCCAACCATGAAAAGAAAACATCTATAACTTTCCTTCAGATTCTCTGCTTCAGTCAAACACATACTTTACCAATAATGCTCAAAGTTTAGAGAGCATCAGGATCACCTGGAGAGGTAGCAAACATGCCCATCCCTGGGCACTGACCCCGGAGTTCCTGAATCAGTAGATTTGGGGTAGGTTAAAGCTTCTGCCTTCGGCTCAGGTCATAATCTCAGGGTCCTGGGATGGAGCTCCGCATCAGGCTCTCTGCTCAGCAGGGAGCCTGCTTCCCCGCCTCTCTCTGCCTGCCTCTCTGCCTACTTGTGATCTCTCTCTCTCTGTCAAATGAATAAATAAAATCTTTAAAAAAAAATTCATTAACCCACTGCAGGGTACAGAGAGTACTCTGCTTCCTTTCTTTCTTTCCTCTTCTTCTTTTTTTTTTTTTTCTAGAGAGAGTACAAAAGTATGCAAGATATGGGGCAGGAAGCGCAGAGAGAGAAAAAAGAGAGACTCTCAAACAGGTTCCATGCTCAGTGTGGAGCCCAACAGAAGGCTTTATCTCATAACCTTGAGATCATGACCTGAGCCGAAACCAAGAGTTGGATGCTTAACCGACTGAACCACCCAAGTGCTCCATGGTTTCTTGACACCCAGCCCAACTTAGTGGTTTCACTGGAGAGGAGGTGAAAGCAACAAGAGACACTTAGAGTTGTCAACAAGATTACCATCATTATTCACTAGCCCATGATCTCTTACATTTACTATACTTCGTCAAGTCATATAAAAGACATCGCCTCTATTCTGAAGACCTTGGTTCGTGATGAGTTCAATAAACAGCCGTGAAAACTGAGACACAACACGCCTCATCCTGGTGTGGTCTGGGAGCCCACATACAATATGACTACTTGCTCATTATCAAATGAGTCCTTTATACAAACAGAAAAGTTTCACTTTCAGAGTTCCGAGATTTCAATTCCTCTCAACTGCTTTGGTAGCTTCAATGATGTGCGTTTGGTGATACTATTAGTAACTACTTTCCTGCATTACTGTACAATATGGTTATGAAGATAGGAAAAGAAAAGCAGTTACTATCTTAAATATGTGTAGACAGGCTAAGAATTTCCTAATAGAATGTCTTTTAACCCTATAGATACTGTCTAGCCTGATTGTAGTATCATTTTTCAGGAAATTGTAAGAGAAACAAGAACTTCTTTCTTCCTCCAAGAAGAACTTAAAAAAACAACAAATGTCGTTTAATAATTTATGTTTGGTTAGAATTTGTTGCTAAGCTACAGAGTTTTAGGAAGTATCATATTAATTATAATTTTTAAAAGTGTGTTAGTAGTAATGATGAGAATCTAGGATGGAGTGAGCCAAATAAGACTTAAATAAAAAATGCTGATTTCATATCCTACCCCTATGAAGAGATTATTTTTGTGGGTCTTGTTATATTTGCATTTCCTGGTCTACCTTTCATGCTATTCAGGCTTCTAGAAATTTTACAAATGAATCATAAATGAAAGGTGAGTTTAATCAACATTTATTCCATCTTGGGGTTTTCCAACTTCCTTGAACAAACACCTGTAACCTACTCTAGAACAGTAATTTACTATCAGCACAGGCAAACTAAACAGATTTACCCATCTCATGACAGTGAGATGTTGGACAAATCAATTTTGCCCATGGGTGGCACTGGCTGACTAGCCTCAGGTAATTTCTCTCACTTTGGTTAAACATCTGGCTTCTCTTTAAGAACTCAAAGAAAACAATGCCCTTGGGTATTTCCTTCAAAGCAAATAAATTGAATTGAGTATACACAGTTGTGTGAACTTCTGAGAAGCATATGTTAATTACTAAACTGACATGCTACAAATTTCTGCTGAGTGAATGGGTCAGTAGGCGGTCTGCTTGTGCAAGGAGGTTGGTCCCCAAATTCCATGCTGTGTTGGATGGTATGCACAATCAGCTACCCAAATCAACATTTTGAGTAACTTCTATTTATTACAGTGGTAAGGAAAGAAGAGAAAAGGAAAGGAAAGGAAAGGAGAGAAGAGAAAAGAAAAGAAAAGAAAAGAAAAGAAAAGAAAAGAAAAGAAAAGAAAAG